GCTGCGGGGCGCGTCGTGCCCGGGGACCTAAGGCCCGGCCGACAGCGCCCAGGGCGGGCACGGCAGGAGCAGGACAGCGGCCGTCAGCCAAGCCCGTCCCCGCAGGCTGCTCCTTCGGCGGGAAGGTCTATGCCTTGGACGAGACGTGGCACCCGGACCTGGGGGAGCCCTTCGGGGTGATGCGCTGCGTGCTGTGCTCGTGTGAGGCGGTGAGTGGACCTCACCATCTTGGCCCGGATCCTCGCGGGTTGGGCAGCGCCGAGATCTTGAGCTAGTGGAGTGGACTCGCAGCTCTACGGGGAGAAACAAGCCTCTCTCGATATTTGAAGTGTTTTTCTGGTGCCCACTTCAAGCTTCAGGTGCTGACTGTAATGGATCGCCCACAGTGTCAAGCGCTGTGCCAATTCCATTTCCCCGGTCGGTCTCTCACTTAACTCCTATTAGAACCTGGCTAGATCATTATTCCCACTTTCTAGATAGGGAACCTGAAGCGCCAGTGGCTAGACAACTTGTCTGGGGTCAGGCAGCTTGTAAGTAGCAGAACTGTCTGACCCTGTCTTGACCTGGGTCCCCAGGATTGATTTCTTGTCCTCACTCTGTTTCCTGGTCTTTTCCTTGAGTAGCCTCAGTGGGGTCGCAGAGCCAGGGGCCCAGGCAGGGTCAGCTGCAAGAACATCAAACCCGAGTGCCCAACCCTGACCTGCGGGCAGCCACGCCAGCTGCCTGGACACTGCTGCCAGACCTGTCCCCAGGGTAAGGCTCACTTCTCCCTCACTGCTGGGTCCTGAGCCATGCTGATGGGGCAGGTAGAGGGCCTACTAGTCCTCCCAGTTCCCAACTGAAGCTGTGTCCCCATGGCTCAGAGCGCAGCAATTCAGAGAGGCCCCCGACAGGCCTGGCCTTCGAGTATCCCAGGGACCCAGAGCACCGCAGCTACAGCGACCGTGGGGAGCCAGGAGCTGAGGATCGTGTTCGTGGAGAGGGCCATACTGGTAGGCTGGGGTCAGGGTTGGGGTGAGGAAGGAAGGGCTGGGATTGTATTGGGGGCTGGGTGGCTGCTGCACACGATCTTCCTCCCCTCCAGACTTCGTGGCGCTGCTGACTGGGCCGAGGTCGCAGGCCGTGGCTCGGGCCAGAGTGTCCCTACTGCGCTCCAGCCTCCGTTTCTCCATCTCCTACCGGCAGTGAGAAAGGGGAAGGAGAAACCAGGGGTCAGATGGGGGCGGGGGAGGGAGAACTGGGAGAGGCTGGCTGGAGGAGCTGTTCTGGCCCAGGCTCAGAGTTCCACTTCACTGGACCTCTTCTCCCCAGGCTGGACCGTCCCACGCGGATCCGCTTCTCAGACTCCAGTGGCAGCATCCTGTTTGAACACCCTGCTGCCCCTACCCAAGATGGCCTGGTGAGATGATGCCATTTATGAGTGCTTATCCAGTCTGGGCACAGTGTGGACAGGGTGCTCTCTCTGCCTTGCCTCCATGGGTCCTCACAAGTCCAGTGGGAGGAAGGCACTGACATTATGATGGCCGTTTTACAGATGAGGGGACTGAGGCTCAGTAGCAGCATGTGATTTGCTCAAGGTCACGCAGCTAGTAAGTGGTGGAGCCAGGATTGGACCCAAGCATCTGGCTCCAGGGCCCCTTCACCAGCTTCCTAGGAGGACATGGGGCCTCTTCCCGTATTCCTTCCTCGCTAGAGCGGGGCCTCTCAGGGCCAGTCCTGCTTACTGTCTGAGTAGGGCCTTCTTGTCTCTCTGCTCCAGGTCTGTGGGGTGTGGCGGGCAGTGCCTCGGTTGTCTCTGCGGCTCCTTAGGGCAGAACAGCTGTATGTGGCACTCGTGACACCCTCTCACCCTTCGGGGGAGGTCTGGGGGCCTCTCATCCGGCACCGGGCCCTGGCTGCAGGTGAGGGGAGCAAAGGGCCTCTGGATGTGAAACTCTTGAGTGTTCTTTATCCCCAGGAAAAGAAAGGGCTGAGGAGAGGGCTTTCTGATGAACTCTTATGATCTTCCCTCCCCCAGAGACCTTCAGTGCCATCCTGACCCTAGAAGGCTCCCAGCAGGGTATAGGTGGCATCACCCTTCTCACTCTCAGTGACACAGAGGACTCCTTGCATTTTTTGCTACTCTTCCGTGGGCTGCTGGAATCTAGGAGTGGGGGTAAGTGGATGGGGCAAGAGCCCGGGACAGGGTTGGGAGAGCATCTGGCTCTCAGAGGTGTCCACCGTGTGACCATCGCAGGGCCAGCCCCGGTTCCCTTGCGGCTCCAGATTCTGCACCAGGGGCAGCTGTTGCGAGAGCTCCAGGCCAATGCCTCAGATCAGGTGAGTGAAGATCTGGCTCTTGCTGTTAGCATCTCTAGTCTCTCGCTGCTGCCCACCATATCCTGCTCTGTCCCCAGGAGCAGGGCTTTGCTGAGGTGCTGCCCAATCTGACAGCCCAGGAGATGGACTGGCTGGTGCTGGGGGAGCTGCAGGTGGCCCTGGAGAGGGCAGGTGGGCCAGGGCCACGCATCAGTGGACACATTACTGCCAGGCAGAGCTGTGACGGTGAGTCTGGGTGGGGCCTGGCATCTTGGGCACATAACTGAGAGGCCAGATTAGCACAGGGAGGGGCCAGGGTGTGAATGGGAAGGACCCCTGCGACTGAAGAGATGAGCAGCCAAAAGGCTAACCTGCCACTGTCTGTCTGGCTCCTCTGCAGTCCTGCAAAGTGTCCTTTGTGGGGCCGAGGCCCTGAACCCAGTTCAGACGGGTGCAGCCGGCTCAGCCAGCCTTACACTGCTGGGAAATGGCTCCCTGATCTACCAGGTACGAGTCAGGACTGCAGGAGCTGGGAGGCCAGCAGGGCAGCTGGACGGGGTGGGAGTTAACCTTCAGTGGTTCTGGCTCCAGGCCAGCTCTGCTGTTCCAATTTGTCCTCCAACCCTGCCCACCAGGTGCAAGTAGTAGGTACAGGCAGTGAGGTGGTGGCCATAACGCTGGAGACGAAACCCCAGAGGAGGAACCAGCGTTCTGTTCTGTGCCACATGGCTGGACTCCAGCCTGGAGGACACACGGTGAGTACTTCTGGTAGACATGAACCCCAGGGCCTCAGAGCTACAAGATGTGGGCTGGGGGAAGCAGGTGGGAAGAACAGTGATCACGGTACTTGCTCAGGGGTGCTCTCTTTGGCCTGTTGATTCACTGGAAACATTTTTTTTTGCTTTTGTTTTATGTTATTCATGTAGTTTTTTAAAAATATAATAGTTTATCATTACATCATTTTGTGCCTTTTCCATATCAGTTGTAATCCCCATGGGCTTCCCATCACCACATCACATGTGTATCATCACCATAGTCCAGTGCACTTCCCTCTCTCCACTCCCACCCCCCATTTTTGATCCCATTCCCCACTCCATGCCTCTGGTATATAGCTGCTCATTATTATTATATTTTTTTACTGGGCACATATTTAGTGAGCCTTAGGCGAGGGTCTGGAATACAGAGAAAATCAGCTGTGCGCCTGTTCTCAGGAAGCGCATGTTGGATGGCTGCAGTTAGACACCAGTGTGGCAGACCATGTAATCAGACCACGTTACAGTGACAGCATGTGACAGCGCTGAGCTGCTCTTTGTCTCCTTTGGTTGCTTACTTACACTATTGTTGGCCCTCAGAGTACCCATTGTATAGATGAGGAAGTGAAGGGTCAGAGAGATTAAGTAACTCCTCCAGCTGCTGCATAGGTAGGCAGTGACAGAGAGGGGACTTGAACATGGCCTGCAAGGTTCTTATCCAGTGTTACTTGTGTGTGGAGTGTGTATGCGTGGTGGGGGGTGGGTGTGAACAGGTGGGGGAAAGGCTTCAGAGTCTTGGGTTTGTGTGAAAACTGAGGAGGGGTGCAGCAGGGATTGGTGGGGTATAGTTAGGACTTAGCCTTCCCTGTCCACTAGGCTGTGGGAGTCTGCCCTGGGCTGGGTGCCCGGGGGGCTCATATGTTGCTGCAGAATGAGCTGTTTCTCAATGTGGGCACCAAGGACTTACCAGACGGAGAGCTGCGGGGGCACGTGGCTGCCCTGCCCTACAGTGGGCACAGTGCCCGCCATGATGGTGAGTGCCCCAGGGTGTCTGCCCTTCTGTGTCCTCTAACTTGTCACTTGAGTATGTGTGGGATGGTGCCAGAGAGCCAGGATCTGGCATGTCTTTCTCTGTGCCCAGACTCCAGGTTGGCACCTGGATGTGTCCGGTCGCCCTGCTGGGACATGTGTTGTCATAGTGCAGAGGCCTAAAACTCCCTGCTCCTAGGCTTCGGGACATTGTCTACCAGCTCACAGAGTCTTTGTTGGGGGAGACGGGGAATTCCGGGGCTGAGCGGGTGCTCCAGGCCACTGTCTCATCTCTAACCTCTTCTCTGTGGCACCCAGTTCTACCTGTGCCCCTGGCAGGAGCCCTGGTGTTACCCCCTGTGCAGAGCCAGGCAGCAGGTCATGCCTGGCTCTCCTTGGATACCCACTGTCACCTGCACTATGAAGTGCTGCTGGCTGGGCTTGGTGGCTCAGAACAGGGCACTGTCACTGCCCACCTCCTTGGGCCTCCTGGGATGCCAGGGCCCCGGCGGCTACTGAAGGGATTCTATGGCTCAGAGGTGAGGACGCAATGGTGGGATGCAGCTTGGAAAATACCCGCTTGTTTGTTTTTTAAAGATTTATTTATTTATACATAAGAACTGAGGTATAGAACAGGCAGATGTACTGAAATACACTGGGCATGTCTGGGGAGGTCTTCTGTGCCATATGGGTCACCCCCCCCCAGGCGGGGGATCGAACTCGTGCTGCAGTGGCTGTGATAGTTTCATAGTGCTGGGCCTTAACCCCTCGTGCCACCAGGGAGGGCCTGGAAAATATCTGCTTTTTAGCGCGAAGGGCTCTCTGGGTCTGTGGAGAGGGAAGCAGGGAGCAGGCAGCCAGCCCCGTGTGGCAGAGCTGGCTTGGTCTGGGACTCAGACAGACGTGGGTGAATCTCACTCAGCCTTTTATTATCCATTCTCTTCCCTGAATCCTCCTTTGGTGGGACCCCTTAGATAGCATGTAATATCCTGGACCTATTGAGGTGGGATGAAGTGGGGTGAGTTGCCATGGACTTGGGGTCATGTAGCTGGCTTCTTGGCTCCCCCCTATTGCTAATGGCTTCTCGACCCTGGAGACATCGAACTGCCTTGGGTCCCAGTTTCTCCCTCTGTGAAGTGAGTAGGCTTAGTCTTAGGCTGCCTTGTTTCCATCTCATACCCTATCTAATCATAGGCCCAGGGTGTGGTGAAGGACCTGGAACCTGAGCTGCTACGGCACCTGGCACAGGGCACTGCCTCCCTTGTGATTGCCACCAAGGGGAGTCCCCAAGGGGAGCTGCGAGGGCAGGTAAGCAGGTGGTGTGGGCCACGGGCATGTCTCAGAGTTGGGCTGGTGCTGTGTGTCCGTGTCCAAGTTACTTGCTCTCGCTGACTCCTGGGGGTGGCAGGACCAAACTCCCTGACAGGTTGGGAGGATGTAGTCAGATAACACATGCACGTAACGGAGCTGGCAGCCGACACCTCTGTCCCTGACAGCGGAATGATTGCTGTCCCTAGTGACATCCTCTGGGGACACAGGGACACTCAGGGTGTCCCTGTGTCTCTCAGGTTGTCTGGTCTCTGATGGCGACTCAAGGGGGAGCCTAGGTGTTCCTCACCCACCTTTCTTCCCAGGTGCACATTGCCAACCAATGCCAGGTGGGCGGTCTACGCCTGCCAGCAGCAGGGGCCGAGGGGGCGCCGGGGGCACGCAATGGGGTGGCAGTCCCCGTGCCTGCACTGCCTGCTGTGTTAGGCCCAGACAGCCCTGTGCCCGCCAAACCCAGCGGTCCTGGGCGGCCCCGAGACCCCAACACCTGCTTCTTCGAGGGGCAGCAGCGCCCCCATGGGGCTCATTGGGCACCTAACTACGACCCACTGTGCTCCATGTGCACCTGCCAGGTAAGAGGCCCAGGATGGGTGCACTGGGCCAAGGGGCCTGGGAATCCCAGTCCACCCGCTCCTCACCTCTCCCTGCAGAGACGCACAGTGATCTGTGACCCTGTGGTGTGTCCTCCGACCAGCTGCCCAAGCCCTGTGCAGGTTCCGGACCAGTGCTGCCCTGTGTGCCCAGGTGAGTGCCCTGAAAGGGAGGGGAGGGTAACGAGGGGCCGCAGGTGGGAGAGGAGGCTCTCGGGAGGGATGGACAGGGGATGACCCTTTGCTTTCAATCTGTCTTTGACTCACAGAGAAACAAGACGTCAGAGACCTGCTGGGGCTGCCAAGAAGCAGAGACCCTGGAGAGGGTGAGCTGGAAGCGTGTGTGCAGATTGGGGAGTGCGGAGGAGTTGTTGGGTGGGACCAGAGGGAGGCAGGAAGGTGAGAGCATTTGTGGGGGCGGGGAGGCTGAAGGACACAGGTTTCAGAGACACCTGATTGTCTCCTTTAGGGTTATTGGCCCAGGAGCGGGCCCTGGGCTTGACTAGTGTGGGGTTGGCCTGAGCTTCAAGCCTTGGTTGTGGGCCCAGCTAGTGAGTTCAATACTAATGGCAGTTGGGCACTGTCCCCCACCAGGCTGCTATTTTGATGGTGACCGGAGCTGGCGGGCAGCGGGTACCCGGTGGCACCCCGTCGTGCCCCCATTTGGCTTGATTAAGTGTGCTGTCTGCACCTGCAAGGTATGGCTGCCCCATCTTCTCTGGTGCCATAACCCAGCCGGGTCTACAGAGATGGGGAGGGGGCTGCCAGTGGAGGAAAACCCATCCTCGGTGAGGAGGACTCAAGGATGAAAATCATCTGAGAAAAGTCCTTTGGGCTTTGAGAGTTGGCTTCCTGTAGGAGAGGGCAAGGGTTGACCTGGGCATGAATTCTGGTCCTGCCAGCTAACTCATGCCATATAGCCTCGGGCACTTTCTGTACCTTCCTGTGATAAGCAGATATGATAGCACCTACCTTGCAGGGTTACAATGAGGATATGAATTCAGGTATATAAAGCACCCGTCCAGGGCTTCTGAGCAAGAGGCCATGCATCTATTGCATTTGAGGTATGGGAAAGAAGAGGGAGAAAGCTGGAGGCTTCTGTGCTCCCCTCCTTCCTGACACCCCTCACTCAATGGATCCCTACAGGGGGGCACGGGAGAGGTGCACTGTGAGAAGGTACAGTGTCCCCGGCTGGCCTGTGCCCAGCCTGTCCGCGCCAACCCCACTGACTGCTGCAAACAGTGTCCAGGTGAGGGGGGTGGGCACTGAGGCCTCTTGGGGCAGATAAGGCCCTTCACTGCTTTGTCCTGGGTGAGGGGATGCATTGTGAGGGTGGATGGAAGGGGTGTCTCAGTAATTCAGCATTTATTGAGCACTGCTTTGTGCCTAGCCTGGGGCCAGGGCTCTAAATGGAAAGACTGTGCATGTATTATGGGCTATGTTGGGTTTCAGCTCCTGCCCCATCCATCTACCCACCCACCCACCCA